AAAGTTTGATGCAAAAACGCATGATCGCACCGGCTCGCCTGGTGCGTTCCAGCCTGGGTTTCATTTGCCCACAATTCTCCAAAGCAGTAATTGATGATTGATTCGAGCATGAAATTGTACCTGTATCCAAAACCGCAAAATCCAATCTTCAGTCATCCAAATAGTAGATTTTGCTGAGCTATGATGTAGGGAATGATAGGGCGGAAAGTGTGTTAAACTGCTAAATGAGGCACTTAATCCAGTGACTCAAAATGGAACGCATTAAATCAGCTGCGCACAGACCGAATCTTGCGCTGACTAAAAGAATAAACAAAATTTTACATTGATCACAGAATAAAGCGCTTATTTTCTAAACAGTAGAAGCTGTTTGATACGTATTCAGGTGATTATCCCAAAATTTATCCTCACTTTCCGATTCGATAGATTCAGTGGTGAACATATGTAAAGAAATTCAGTGCCAATCTATGGAAATTATATCCTATTGTTATATTCCAAAACATTTTTGCACTTGATTTAGCTAGCAACAAAATTACGATATCTCCGTTGCTGACAAAAAACACTGCGGTATCGACGTTTGATGAAAACAAAAGAGCAGCGCATTATCAAAAACAACTGTTTTTTGTACCCCGCGGTCATAGCCTATCATATCCAGTTCAGTCCGAAATTCTTGTCCGCCGACTGTTTTAGTAAATTAGAAATGGGAAAGATGAAATTTGCAGCTCGAAGAAGCTCGCAACGAAACGAATGATTCGCTGAGAAAGCTATCACAGGTTGAAAGCGAGCTACAAGAAGCTAAACAGCAGTATCGGCAACAAGAAGAAGAACTGCATCGCAAATCCAGTTAAATTTTTCCCGACCTGCTGGTTTTTTTTTTTTGCAAAAACTTCACACAATCGTTTCAACGCTTACTTGTAAAAATATCATTACAGATTTCCTGAATATCGTGGAAACGGCGAAAAGTAAGCTAGAAGCGGTCATCTGGGACTTGCAGACTGAAGTGAAAGCACTTAAGAATAAGGTTGAATTTCTGGAAAAGGAGCGGGAAAATCTGCAGAGTCAGAGTGAAAGTCAAACCAAACTGCAAAATTCACAAGTTAATGCTCTGGAGGCGGTAAGTTCTGAAAAAATTTCTTCTAATTCGTTCAGTGATGAAGCAGTGAATTCACTAAGTTACATATATCATGTGATTTCAAAAGTTGAGTTTAAGCATAGGTGCCAGTGTTTGGTGTGTTAGAGTTAGGGACCGCGGGCGATTCTCACACTAAAGCAACATCACTGCGTCACCAGCAGTGTATATTTTAAAGCACCAGCTTCGGCAATTAATGTTCACGGGAGGCGCATAATTTTGCTCGTATTTTGCATGGCTATAGCCCGGTTACAATCATCTCTTTGGAACAAGGGGCAGTTTTAGTAAACCGCGATATATCAAAATCCCTAATATTAGGTCTCACTGTTCCGGCTGGTAAAACGCCGCTTAGCTTTTCTTTGCCGCGTTATAAATGACCAATTAGAGCGGAAGAATCTATGTCTATCACAGTGTTAAAATAGGTACTCGAATCAGTCACCAAGGAAAAAAAGTCCACGAAGGACCATTACGAAGGCTTACTGGAACGTGAGCGTCAGCAGGCGCAAGAACGTGAGTATGCGATGAAAAAAGAATTCAGTTCAAAATTAAATGAACTGGAATCGCAGTACAATAGTTTGAAGGATCATTTGGAAAGCGATGTACAACAGAATCAAGGAGAGGTTTGTACCATGACCTTTCATTTTCTTAGTTTAACCAAAAAATAAAGTTAAACTGTGCAGAGAAAATTTCCGTTACCACACGGTGCTAAAAGAATGTAGGACCCATTAGGAAGCAATCAGAAATCAAAGAAGAGTTCGGTAAAATGCCTAACGGTCGGAGAGATGAAATGAAATTGATGCCCTATGATTTAAAACTGAAAGTTTTTTAGCAGTGTGAGCACCAGGAGGCAGTTATTTTTTGCTTGCAGATTCGAAAAATGTATCTCTACGACAAAAATGATTAGATTTTACAAAAATTCGCCCTCATCAATCTAAACGAAGCCGTCAACTGCCCCGCCTTTTTGCTGCATAAGTTGTGCTTTAAAACAAAAGAAAAAATCCATTTTTTTTGATCAAATTTCAGGAAGTGTCGATGTTGAAGGAAGAAAAAAGTGTGCTATCAGTAGAAGTTGATACGTTGAAACGTAAACTTGATTTGCTGACATCAATGAAAGAGGTGCATTTTTTTTTTTTT